TGAGTGTTGTCTACTACGGGTTACAGAAGGCAACTACACTTCCCTTCAATTCCTATACAGGTAGTCCTTGACTTACAACAATTCACTTAGTGGCCGTTCAGAGTTACAACAGCACCAAACAAAGTGACATAAGACCGTTTTTCACACGACCAATGCAGCATTCCCATGGTCATGTGAACTAAATTTGGATGCTTGGCAACTGATCCATATTTATGAGATTGCAGTAACCCGGGAATCATGTGATCACCTTTTTGTGACCTTCTGACAAGCAAAGTCAATGGGGAACCCAGATTCACTTAACAACCATGTGATTAATTTAACAACTGCAGTGTTTCACTTAACAACCATGGCAAGAAAGGTTGTAAAATGGGACAACTGTCTCACTTAGCAACATAATTTTTGGGGTCAATTGTGGTCGTAAGTCAAAGACTACCCTGTAAACTCACATATCTTCAACTTTACCTTCTTCTCTACATTTGGAAACAATTCCACAATCCTCCTCAAATCACAATTCATACAAGCTCTATGCCCTCCAAATTCACTCTCTGATCTTCTTTTTAAAATAATATTTCTTGTACTGAATTAAGCAGCTATAAAACTAGATGGCAATACCTCAAGATGGTGATGATTTTCTTAAGGAAGATAAAAATAACTCCTTGAATTGTTTACTTGTGTATTTGTTGCTACGAGTTCTGACACTACCTCTAATTATTGTTTGATGTTGATTTTTGTGTCTTTATTAGGCCAGCTTCTTTTGTCTTGTTTTGTTTTGTTTTAAATAGCCTGTTCTTTCAAAGAGATTTGTGGGTGCAGTAGATAATACACTGTTTCTATTTACTTGAATGCCAATTCTTAACTTATGTGCTAAAAGGAACATTTGCCAACCTGTTTGTGTGCTCTTAATATAATGATCTTCCTGTTTTGTTAGAATGACGACAGCAGTACTGTGATTGCCAGTTTCACTCATTTGTGCAGTGTTACAAAGAACACAAAAAGGGAGGTGCTCATGCAACAATATTGCTCCCATTTTGACCCCTTTATCTTCCCTGCACATGTTGCTAGGTTCCAACTCAAGAAAAACCCAGTTAATTTATACTAAAATGCCATATTTTTTCCATTTCTTAAGTAAATAGCATTTCTAATAATCTGCTAGATCAGGCAGTAATATACCACCATCTATCCTGAATCTCTCTTAGTTTCTAGCTCTTACTATTACAATGAAGCTATTTTACCAAATCATATTATATTACTCCTGCCTGAGCAAGGGGTTGGACTAGATGACCTCCAAGGTCCCTTCCAACTTTATTATTATTATTATTATTATTATTATTATTATTATTATTATTATTATTATTATTATTATTATTATTATTATTATTATTATTACTTTTCCTAATAACAGAGTTACATTAATTCACCAGTCATTTCCACTGTTCATCATACTATGGTTGATGGTTTTTTTTTTAACCTTTCTAAAAATTGAAACATTGGAGGTTTTTAAAAACAATATCGTAGGATCAAGAATGCATGTTGCTTCCATAATGCCTTTTCCAGCTCTGTCTGATGATGCCAGGAATATGTCCTTCGTTGTTAAAACTTCTACTATAGTTCATTATGAGATCACGCTTTGGATTTTTCTGTTGTGGCGCTGTATGCTTATTTGTTTTTATTGGGTGCAGTTGATTTTATTTTAACTAAAACAGACAAAGGGAGATTTCTCAAAGTCAGCTGGTAGTTTGTTGTAAATTGCACAGTCATTTAAATTTTGTATTGCCTCAGTGAGTGAAACTGAATTTTTTGTTATATCTGCTCAGTCAGTTTTGAATTCCTCTTAGCTGCATCGCTAGTAACCAGTCAAATTCAAAGATGGAAGTATAGAAGTTAACAGTAATTAGGACTGCAAACTCTGTTGCTAAGCAACATTGGCGTAAAGCAAGAAAGCACATGACTGTGTCAATTTATGATGTCACTTCTGGCAGTTTCTGTCTTTAGCTAAATTTCATGTAGTCATTAAGCACAACCATGACTTGCAATTTCCTGCCAGCTTTCCCACTGATTTTGCTTACAAAAACTGACAGTCAATGCTGCAAATGATAATCACATGACCACGGGACGCTGCAACTTCATAAATGTGCATTGGTTGCCAAGCTCCCAAACTGCGACCATTTGCTTGTGGGGATGCTGCAACAGACACAACTTCAAGGACGGGCTGTAACTCTCCGAATTCAGCGCCATCATAACTTCAAACATTTGCTGAACAATTTGTGAATATTTGTGAGAACTACCTACAAAGGCTACGTTTGTATGCACTAATGTCCAAATTAGTTTGCATCACTAGGCTGCCCAAATTCTAGCCTCTGATTCAGGTTAGGAAAAAAAAAAGAATCCTTCCTCATCATGCTTTCAAGGAAGATGAAATTTCCTCCTTTGGATCAAATTAAGTTTGTCCCCTGATCCAACAGCTCCTCTTAGCCGGTTAAAGAAGTAGCCATGCAGATCTTTTTTAAACATTTTCCATTCAGGTCAGGCAAATAAAGATTTAGAAATTTGGTTAACAAATGGATATTTGATATTTCTACATGACTAGAATTACCACAATGGGAATTTACCATAGCCAATTTTCAGTGGTGGTAACAGTGATTGTGTTCCATACAGTATCCCAACATAAACACAAAGCAGAAAACAGATACAAATACAGACATACACATTATACTGTTAAAGATGTAAGTAAAGGATGGGATATCCAGATAGGTAAGCTTTTTGTAAATAGGGAAGTTTGTTTAGAAGTACATGCTAAAATCTTCAGGGATAATTTTAAAAACAAAGAAGTACTCTTTATATTCATATTCTTGAAGCTGTGTATTCACTTGTATATAAAAAGAATTCTGGTCTCTGTCTTCTTGTCAACATCAAACAATTCTCTGATATGTAAATTTCAGCTATAGGGACAACAGTTCACTGAATTTGTTTGGATTCAGTCCAGGTCTCAGCCATGGCACCATTCAGGGAACTGGCATTTAATTGCCTCATTTGAGCTTTTAAAAATTGTAAAAGGAAATGATATAAAAATAAATATAAAATACTTTTAAATATTTTATGCTGCTCAGCCATAATATCACTCTCTTGCTCTCTCAAATGGCAATTGAGGGGTAAAAAAACAAGTTACAGGATTGAATCTTCCATCTTCCTGTTTTCTTTTGCATGAAACTTTCTCCCTACTATTATTTATTTTATCCACTAATAAATGTTTCGTTTGCCACAAGCCAGGCTAACGAGATTCCCTTCAAAAGCTAATTTGATCAAACTATCAGTAATACCTGTGTTCAGATCTGGATTATGATCAAAGCCTGGTTTATTTAATTGGTTAAGAAAGAAATTGATGGACCTGAGTGAAAACTCCTTGGGGGTTTATTTTTTAGATTTTTTTATTTATTATTTTTATAAATATCTCAAAGCGGCAAATATACATCAGATTCCTTTCTCCTATTTTCCTTATAACAACAGCCCTATGAGGTAAATTGGGCTGAGAGAGAGTGACTGGCTGAAAGTCACCCCGCTGGCTTTCATACCTAAGGCGGGATCTGAACTCACAGTCCCCTGGTTTCTAGCCTTGGTGCCTTAACTATTAGACTAAACTGACTAGTGAAGCAAGAGGGGCCAAAATGCAATCCTTAGATTGCTTATCTATCATCATCTGGCCTGTACCAGATGCAGGGACAAGCAAACTACAATGAATAAAAACAGTTGAAGGCTCTTTGTGCTCTTAGGAAATGCTGAAGTCATAGAAAGCAGAGTGGAATGGCTTAAATGATGGATGGAGAGCAGTGAAAAGGCATGGGGTTCCAAGCAATGAGGCATCCTCATGATTGTTACAGACTCCTATAAAAGTTTTTTTTTAAATAAATCACTGAATACTGGAATAATCTTAAATCAATCTATTACTAAAGATCCTTAGTAAAGCTTAGTTATGATCAGACAGTTTTAACTCCTATCTTCCGCTTTCAGATTTTTCTTTGTTGGCACTTTCCAAATGGAAAATATGAGGAAAATATTTTTCAGGTGTCCTGTGTCCTTCTGAATTCTGAATCACAAAACTTCTGTAGTTTCAGTTTCAGATTTTAAATAGCCCTACTTTAGTTTAACTTTTTTTTAGTTAAGTTGATCTTTCAACATTTAGTGTCTCTCATACACTTGTTTATATATGTATGCATATACTGTGCATATATAAATGAAATACTAGGTGCCCTTTAAATATTACCTATTGAGAGTCATTTTGGTATTTCTATATGGACAGACTCATCTGCATTTTTCTTTCAGCCTAAGCTATCCCTCCAGGATGTTAAGAGGAAAATACTGGAGCAAGCCCATGTATATTTCTTGGAGAAAGGGCAATATATATTTTAAATATATATAACAAAAAAGAATTGGGGCAACGCTGGCTAGACTTAAATCATAGTGTAGATTAAATCATGGTTTTGGTGCTGTGTCAACCAATGATTATTAAGACTAATTGCAATTTAAGATTCAGAAATAATATTAAATTGTGATTAATTAAAAAATTGAAACAGCGACTTATTTCTTGTATATACTGTAGTTGTTCTTGAAGAATGTACCAGGAAGAGAATGTGTGAGCCTGTATAATTCATATTATTCTAAGCCATGATCTAATATCTAATTATATTCATTAGACTCGGAGAGAAGATAGACATAACCAAATGAGGGCTTATCACTTGTGAAAGTAAAGGTTCAGCTTAAGTTACACATAAGTTTCCAGTCTCATCTTACCCTATCAAACTTTTCCTTTGATTCAAGCTGTTTTCTTCTTCTCATGAAAAGAGGAACCATATTTCTCTTTGTTAAATGTGGTCCTGCCTCTTCAGTTGTGTTAATGATTTCTCGATTGAAAAGCTGAAGGCTTGTTCATTTTAATAGTTCTCTGCATCATTACTGAATAACAAATCCAGATTGCAGTATTATTTTATTATTTTGTTATTTCAAAGCATTTTAAGAAGCAGAAGAGGCTGATCCCAGAAAGGACAGTTTGGAAATACTTTGTTCAGCTGTGCAGTGCCTTGGAACATATGCATTCCCGTCGTGTCATGCATCGAGGTAATAAGTTGCATTTCATTCCAACTACTGTTGTACAAATATAGGAACTGCAGTATATATTACATGAGCTACAAAGACAAGTGATGGCGCCTTCCATGTATCTATGTCATTTAAAAAAAAAACATTGACATATTCTCTATTCTCTAGTTACATTTATTTATTTTTAATGACTTTTATCGCCTGCCCCAATCAATTACAAACATGTATGGCTATGTGTATATATAATCATTTGAATTAAAATAAGTGATCTACATTCATATGCATGCTGTTTTATGTGTGGTAGATTCTTATTTTAATGTATCTTGAAGATTTATACCCTGCCTTTTGATTACATGGGGCAGCCTATACAAAACCGGAAACACTTCCAAAACTGAAATACTCCAATTTACGCAAATGTATGTACGCGTACAAAATCCAAAAGCCCTTTAGATGGTATCTGTGGCTACTGGATGGAGGCCAGATTATACCTCTTTGGTTTCTGTAGTGGTATCACAGCTGGCATTTAGATCAAACTTTTTTTTCTTGCAGGAAGCAGGGAAGCATTCTTCCTGTAATTACTCCATCACTGGCCATAAATGCAGCAAAGCTTGTCTTTTCCTTGTCATTGGTGCCCTGGATGGTGGCAGAAAATTCATTATTATTATTATTATTATTATTATTATTATTATTATTATTATTATTATTATTATTATTATTATTATTATTATTTCTTATGGATTGCTCTTATATGGAAATTTTATCTAAATCAGCATGGTTGTGAGCAGTTTTATCCACCACTAGTTAAGGTAACTGTCATCAAGGACAGAAATTTGATGAGAGTTAAGTCATGATACCTCATTAACATATCTAAAAAGTTTGATATAGTCACAGTGATTGAATAAATAAGATTTCCTCTCCATCCGAGAATAGGGCTTCAAATGGATTGTAGTTTATTTTGTAAAAATATTTTCACCATTTTTTTAATTTTAGTTCTTTCTGTTTCTTGAGATAACTATGAAGGGTCTGAAGTCCACCCAGTGAATTAAGATTATCTTGTAATGGATATATATTAAATGTGCACATTTAATCCTTGTTCATCATTCAGTTTATTTATAAAATAGTATAAACATAGGAGCAAATAATTTCTGACAGCAAGACATGTAGATTATACAAACTAGTGAAGTTAAAAGTCACTGTGAGGTAGAGATCCAGAGCAGGTTAGTTAAATTCATTTCCCTCTGACATTGGTAAGATGACCTCATTATGACTTAATATTTTTTCATAGAAACTAAAGCAACTTAGTCTAAATCCTATTTTATAACTAAGGTAGCTTTCAAACAGGTGTTTCAAGAGAAGAGTTCCATATTTGGACATAAGCAACTATGTTCAGAACATGACAGAAAAAGGTGTCTCCTATTAATCTGAGTGGATAGCTAGAGTAATCATAGAGAAGACAATCTGTCGCATAATCTGGTCTTAATGTGAGTTAAACTGTTATATCAGCCCTACATAAACTCCTTATTCGAACATTTAGAAGCATACCTTTCATTGCTAATTAAATATTTGTCCAAATAAAATTTGGAAATGTCCCCAAACATTCAGGGAATGAATTATGCTACTAGGTGTATTATGAGACTGATACATGGTTAGTAAAGTCATTGTTACTACCCACAGAGCATCATTTTTTTCACTACCTATAGAACTAAACAGAATTATAGAATTCAATTCATTTCTTTATAGAAGCAAGCCCTCTTGAATTCATAGTATTTATTCCCTAAAAGTGGATAAAGGATTTCACCCTAAAATTAGTTCAAAGATAAACACATTTATTTTAATTAGTAACTTGCATGTTAAATTCAACTATGCTTGAAGTTGGAATATTACTTGGCACAGATAATAGTTCATCATTTTTTTAGATATTTTTATCCCATTTATATTATTTTTAAAAATAACCCAAGGCCGGTAAACATATCACCTAATACTCCTTCCTCCTTCTATTTCCCCCCCCCACAACAACAATCCTGTGTGGTGGTCTGGACTGAGAGAGAGTGATTGGCTCAAAGTCACCCACCTGACTTTCATATCTAAGGTGGGACTAGAATTCACACCCTCCTGGTTTCTAGCTTGGTGTCTTAACCACTAGATGAAACAAATAATTTATAATATTTTTGTTGTATTTTTAAAAAAGGAAACAAAAATTGAACAAACAATAAAACTTAATATAATACTTAATAATGGGCTTTTCTATTAAAAGTATAGCATTATACAGTACTTTGTTTTTTCTTACAGACATTAAGCCTGCAAATGTATTCATTACTGCTACAGGAGTAGTAAAACTTGGAGATCTTGGATTGGGAAGATTTTTCAGCTCTAAAACCACAGCTGCACATTCTCTAGGTCAGAAAGATTTCTTTGTATGTATAATTAAAAGTGGAAGTTAATGTTACACATCTAGAGTACTGTATATGCAGCAGACCTTTTGTTTGATGTATTTTTAGTTAAAGAATTTAGCTGTCTGTTGATATAGATTAAAATATGTTTAATTGTTAAATACATTTCATTTGCATAGGCTGAAAAACATCCATTCAAAATTAAACTGTTTTTGTTATGACTGATTTTGATGGCATTCTTGTTGAATGGGATTTTAATAGATTACTTTACAAAACAATGTCATTTTTCAGATGTGTCAGTCTTTATTTTTGATTTGAATGCTTGTTTAATGCAGCCTATGGTGGAGACTTATTATTTCTACAAGAAATGTGTTTATTGGTGCGGTGAGATTCAAAGCAAGAGGAGATCCCTCTTGTCAAGATTGCCTGCTATTACCCTATATACATTCACCATGTAAGATAACTTAAGTGGGCATGTGCTTGGATCATACATTCCTGCATTAATTGTATAGAGAGACTAGTCATGTAAACTGTCATACTGTTAAGGAAGACTAGAGATTCTAACATATGGGGTACCCTAGTAAAAAGAAAACAGTAATAAAACTCCATTGGTTTCACTGAGCAAAGCTAGCTTCACACTTACAATCTAGCCTAAACCTACATCACCAAACTGGCTTGACGTACACGGATGATCTGGACCCTGAAGCAGTTCACTTTCTTTTTGGTCTTTACTGATTTGTATTGATTGATTGATTTCCTAATTGTTGCAAAGTAGATTCAGAGCCACAGGTCTTACAGCTAATCTTTGGCCCCCTACTCTGCTTAGTCATCATGCTGTGTTATAATCAGGCCTTTGAGCTACTATTGCAGACTTTTTTTTCTTGGTTTCATGCCCTCGTGCGCTGCTCTGCTTTTGCTTAACAGCTGATAGTTTTTATGAATCCATATGGGTCTGTCTTTGGTTGAGAAGAAAAGAAATATCTTTATTATCTTATAGACACTGCAATATCTTTTGCTGCTTCGGAAATAAATATTAAAAATCATTATATTTTCAGCTGGTCTTCATCACTCAAGTCCAGTGATGTGTGGCGTGCACTCTTTGGAATATTCTTGTCTTTCGCAGCAATGGGTTAGTTTTTGTCAAGTGCCATTAAGCTAATTTCTTCTTCCAAAAGTGTTAGCTTGAAACCAATGATATATTGCTTTTACCTAGAAGACGATTCTGTTTCACATTAAGCTTTCCTGTTCGCTTACGGTGAATTTGTATAGCGTTTTGCTCCCTTTCCTTTACAAATTTTGTCTAAAGTTATTCCTCTTAATGTGGTAGCTTTCAATATAGTAGATCAAGGATTGGTAAAGAGATATCCGTGGTCAGTACAGTGTTATAGCATCCCAGAGGATGTCCAAAACCAATTACAGATAGAACTCAACCTACTACTGTATGGACAGTCTTTAACTTACAACAGTTCATTTAATGACCGTTCCAAGTTTCAGCATACTGAAAAAATGACGTATGATTGTTTTTCACACTTATAGCCATTCCAATATCCCCATGGTCATGTGATCAAAATTCAGATGCTTGGCAACTGATTCATATTTCTGATAGTTGTATTGTCCTGGGGTCATGTGATCCCCTTTTGTGACCTTCTGACAAGCCAAGTCAATAGGGAAACCAGATTGTTCTTCTTGGGAAGCAATATGCATGATTAGAAGTTTAATCAGAACACAACAGCGTACCTGGAGGGATTCATCAATAGATATGTGTTGCATTAGGTGGCCTTTTCAGAATGCTAAATCCTAAATTCTAGCAGATTGTTTAAATTTCTGAGTTCCTTCGTTGGAGAATTTTTGACACAGCATCAAAAACATGAAAGGATTTGAAATAGCCAGGAGGCCTGTACCATTTTGATCTGCTGAATGTGGCAGCTTCTTGCCATTTAGCGAATCAAGTTTAAGTCAGAGCCCTGATTTTAGGGGTTTTATTGATAAGCTTAAGCATATTGATCCCTGTTTGAGTACCTCCATACGTGGGACCTTGCTAAGGAGAAAAAAGATGGTGTCTGGCTAGTTGTAGCTCAGAGTAGAATTTTGCACTATGTTGATGAACCAGAAGAAGACATGCAGATAGACTTGCTTTACACAGTGTTCATTTGTAGACAAGAATACTTATCTTGCCCACCGAAGAGAGCTCTTCTTTCTCAGCACATGCTATGTTGTCACTCTGCCCACAGCTTGATGTTGACTTGATGGTTAATTCCTAAGTTGAATCTGTTCTGCTTCCACTATCTGGGTCTGACCATTGAAAACAGGTTGGGCTACTCTCTTACCTTGTCTTTCAAATCTTTGGCAGCCACCTGCCCACTGCCTAGAGTTGGATGAATGCTGACCTGCAAATATTAGGCACACTTGGATCAATCATAGAGAATCCTTCCCCTTCCTGAGTGATTCAAGCATAATTTCTACTTCACAACATTTGAGTGATATCCTCCGGGAGACTAGGAATCTCAGTCTAGGAATCATTTGGGTTAGGTTTTCAATCACTAAAGCAGGGGTGTCAAACTGCCGGGCCGCGGGCCGGTTACATCATGCAGAGGCCGCGGCCACCCCAGCTCTGGCAATGCAAAAAAAGTCACGACATGTCACATGACGTGGTGAGTTTGGCACCCGTGCACTAAACCATTCAGGAGCTGTTCTCTATATGCCTTATCCATCCACCTGTGGTCCCTTCTTCCAAAAGCGTATGCCTATTGATTAACTGCCAGCAGTCATTGATTCACCTGGATCAAGCAGAGTGTATTGGACCTGAGACTGCCCTGAGACTAGTCTTAATACACAGATAATATTAATTTGGAGATTTTTCTGGATAGCAGTTTTCTGTCCAGAGATAAGGAAATTATTTTACTTGAAACTTCTTGCTTACCTGGTAAGAAAAAGTATGGTACTTATGCTATAATGAAATCCACATAAATAACCATTGGGTAAATGTAAAAGTTTATATCTACACTATCATGCTTCACAGAAGTGCTGCTGATGTGGAAAGTTTAGATAGTAAATTCTTAATGCAAATAATAGAGTAAACCATTTGGTATGTTTGCAATTTACATTCAGAGTATATTTTTGTATCTTGTTTTTAAAATGCATTTAAATTAAAGGTTCTACTATGTTGGTGTGGTTGGCTTATTGATCCTTCATCTGTGTATGAGGTCATGTGTAATTAAGGGTGTATTTAAGAATGCAGAGGCAAAATGTTAATTTCATTTGTTAGGTTTTGATAAGGTAGATTTTTTTTCTTAATTTGTGTTTTTACTTTGTGTGAGGTTGTCGCTTTTCAAAAAGGCCCTAAAACTGCAGTTTCTGTTACTTGTTATGATGATTTGCTATGAAACTGTGTGACATGAAAAACAAGGGAAAAAAGTTTATTCCATGTTACCATTGTTTCTTACAACCAGAATATTTAACATGTTTCAAGATGTATTCCATACAAAACACAAGATAATGTAGATTCCAGGTTTTGTTCTGTGACAGTGTTTGTTTTGAAATGTTTCTATACTTATTTAAAAACAAATTAATCAGTTACCAATTTGAAAATGTAAATAATTTCTAACATTTCATCTTATATAGAAATAAAATTTATGTACATAATTATATAGGTAAATACAAAATTATTTCTGAAACTGGGATAATGAATCAATTCAAGGTGTATAATGCTTTATAAGAGACCCTATTTAGGTTGCTATCCCATATGAAATACCTGTTAGAGCACGACATATTCCTTACTAAACTTTCTTTTTTTTTGGTGTTCTTCCAGTTCAGTTTCTATTAACTACAATTGATTATTATTTTAGTTAAATTTTATGAATTGGCAAACGTTAGAATGAGTTAAAAGAAGTTATAGATAGATAGACATACAGATCCCCATATACATAAACTCACTGCTTTAGGGAAAAATCTTTTTTTTTTTAAAAAAAAAAGATTTGCCTTAATAACATGAAGATGCCATTTCCTTTTAAAAGATTTATTGATTATCTAAGAAACAACATTTTTCTGCTTATTTTAAATAATGTAAAGATCGAATTGTATGTTGGCTATGCTTTTAAGACAGGATGTAGACATAGCAAAATATGTCTAATGAGTTTCGTTCAGTGAAGGAAATAAAAATAAATGGGAAACCCCTTTAGTTATAAAACCAATATATGTTTTTATTTAACAAATGCTGTAAAAATAAACATATCCATATAGAATTTATCAGTTTATGATTGACAACATTAGTAAGGTTAATATAACATTAAATTACTAAATTGCTAAAAAAATTGGTTTATTGATAATTATGGAAAACTTTGCTACTCTTTAAATAGGTTATCATGAAATTAATTTCATAAAACAAAGCTTAAATTATTTGGAATAATTTTTCAGTTACTGAAGTTTACTCTTTTGTATTTAAATATTGAATAGTAATTTTTTCCAAGGCAAATGTTGGAAGATCATTTTTGTTGATTTAATTTTTAGTTTAATATGTATTTATATTTGTTGTAGTGGGAACACCTTATTATATGTCTCCAGAACGAATCCATGAAAATGGGTATAACTTCAAATCAGATATCTGGTCTCTAGGATGTCTGCTATATGAGGTAAGATTGATAACTTTTAATACGTGTAAGTTGGTTGATATGTTTTGTTGATCAAAATATTTTTCTACTTGTGTTATGATTCTATTGAATTTTCATTCCATAAATTAATACTGTCTGAAAGTAAAGAAATCTGGCATTTTACAGATATATGTGGTGAAATTTGCACATTTGCCTTAGTTTACAATATAAAGAGAATGTAATACAAATATTTGTAAAAATTTGGGGCATATACTTTGCAAAATAATCTTTTTCAAGGTCTTCATCTTTCAGTATCAAGGTTAACTGCCAAGGTGACAATTTGAAATTGAAAACATTATCTTCACATGAAATGGACCTAGCAAGGGCATACTCCAGTCAACACTTGTAGTATCAGCTATTATTTCATTAATTATTAAAGTTTTGTTTTCTGAATTTTAAAGTATAACATCTTTAAACTTTTCTAAGTCTGATGATAGCTTAGGAAACTAGTATTCTGTCGTTTTTATATGGTATATCAGGGTCTGACTATTTGTATATAACTGACTAAACACAAGATCATTAATACTTTGATACAGAGGTAAAGGATCTATGGAAAAATAATATCAGGAAAAGGTATTCCTTCATTTGATTTGTTTAAACTAGTCGTAATTCTAGCTTGTAGAATGTTAATTATAATGAGACCAGTAAGATAACCAAATTCTACCAAAACCTTCTGGATGTTTATAACCAGCTCTAAAAGTTTTACCCATTGGCTTGCAGTCTTTCATTCAAAAGATCTCTAGAAAAGTTTCTGTAATTACATGCAAGGTGAAGTGATAAATCACTTTCATTGCAGTTCAGCAGAATTCATCAAAACTCTCTATCAAGGAACCCCCCCTACAATATTAGGATTTTCTGAGTACCATAACAAGTTTTTCTTTAAACAAAACAAAACAATTCAATTGTAAAATGATTATTTTCTCTCAGACTCAGGTATACAGAAATCACTATTTGGTCTAGATTACTGTTATATATAATTGCTTATCTCAACTACCACGATGACTGAATTATAAAGGAAATAAACATTTAATGAGAGCATTATTTTGGTCATTTATTAGTTATTATATCTTAAACTGGGATTTATTCAAAAATTATTTTTTTCTGTGATGCTGCTATTTGTAAAAATGTACTATTAATGAAAATAGTAACTAAGATTTTTATTTACATTATTCTTTTCTTTCTCACGGTTGTCATGTTACCTACTTTTTTGACAGATAATTATAATTATGTAATAAGATCATGTTTTAAAGAATTTAATTTTCTACTTTCCTTAAAATTTAGCAAACAAATTAAGGATTGGGGCACATTAATGGCATATTGTGAAGCAAAATGATAAAGGAATGTTATGTTATATTATAAGTGGCCATAATTTTATTTCACTCCTTCAGTTTTTACTCAGCCATTGTTTCTGTCAAAAAACAGGAATTTGTGGACCTTTAGTTTTGTAATAAAAATTAAATAATTGTAGGGCACTTTACAAAACAGTAAGATTTTTCTCAATATAGCTCCAATAATAGGAGGATTGAAAAGCATGAATACTGCCATTTAATTATGGTACAAATTTAATATTTAAATTTATTCTTGACTTGCTCAATATATTCAACATAAAATGCATTTAAGGATTTCTAAGTTACTTATATTATTAGTTCCATTGGCTTATATTACTTTCAAATTGGCAATGAATTTTTTTTTTGCATATGCATGAGATTTTCCTAAAAGATTACATAGCTTCCCCGTAAATAATTCTTCAGCCAATATTTTATTTGAATGTTAATATTAATTTCTGGCAGTCTGGTTGGACTTTAGCTGAATCGAAAATTAAGTGTGCTTTCTATTCACCGCTGTTCTATGATATAGCATTTCTTCAACCTGCTGCCTTCCAGATGTGTTCAGAATGCAATGCCCAGTGTTGTGGCTTGGGAATTCTAGAAGTTGAAGTTACAACACACCTGGAAGACACCAGATTGGAGAAGGCCGGTTTTACAGTCTGTTAAAAATTGCTCTCTTTCCTTAACTACTTACCTTTTTTGTTGTTGTTGAAGGTTAATTTTAGTCAGAAAATTAGACTTTCAAATATTCTGGAAATGCCTAAAAAAACAATTCAAAACACTCTAATCACCCTGTGTTAATTGATATGCAACAAGGTAGACTTTACTAATTAAAATCAACGTGCCATGCTTCCACTACATGGACCTTTACATGAAAAAGTAGATATTACACATTTCCTTTATTGTTCAGCACAGTAATTGCATCCTTACAGGGTCGTAGGTTGGTGGCTTACAGTTTCCCCCCCCTCCCCAAAAAGAGAATGAGCGAGTGAGGTGGTGGGGGAGAGCATTGCCACCAGCCCCGAAGACAGACAGTGGGCTTTCGTCCCTCAGACACCCCTAGAATACTAATCAGGAAAGTCAGACCCTGGAGGTCAGGGAGCAAGTCAATCATTCTAGCGATCGTCTCAGTGTGGAGGATCAAATTAGCCTGAAAAATTCAGCTGCTGGGAGGAGAGGGCGAGCAGCTGTCAGGGGCAGCAGCAAGATGCACTAATGAACCAGATGAATAGTGCAAAAGCTTGAAAATAAAAACAGGACAGTTGACATTTTTCATCTGTCAAAGCAGGAGATGCATGAAAATATAGTAGTCCTGTTTTAACTCCTTAGGGGACATTCAGCTTTTTCTCTCTCCCCCCCCTTCATTTTCTCTCTCTCTTTCTCTCTTTTTTTAAGCATTGAAACAGAACTACTTTTTTAATGAACGTGTTTTGTACCATGCTGAGTACCTCTGTGTTTATTTTGCAATTGTGCGTGCATGCTGATTGGGTGGTGAAACTTTCTAATTCTGTATTTAATTGCACTGAAATAAAAATACACTGCCTGAATTAGGTGGTTTCAAGATTTAATATTATGGCAGCAATACAGTTGGAAATCATTGCTTTCCTTCATAGTCTCAAACCTTTAGTTTTCATCAGTTACGATATCCAGTTAATGTATGCAATTTTGATCTTCTTGCTATAAATTTAATTAGTTCTTCATTTTTTTTTCTTTATTCCTTTATGCACCACTAGCAAAATGAGAATCCTTTTTTGGTCGTGAAGGAGTTAACGCTCTTGTCTCAAAGACCACAAGACAGATGAGAGCCATTTTCAGCTTGTCCTGTCCCTGCTGAAGCTCACTGAGTAGCTCAGCATGGACTAGCGTGTTTCACACACACTTTGCCTGTCTGGGGAATGTACACATTGTCCTTCCAAAATCAAACTTATTAGCACATATAGAAAAGGGTGACTGACTTTGGGGCAGTGCTGCACTTTGAGCAATGCTCATGCTGCTGTGGTTCAGAGATTTAAAGGCTTTCAGAGGCAATGTGAACATTTCTGTACAAATCTCTTGAAGCTTAGCAGTATGGTGCACTTTTTGTTTGCTTTTGAAAAGCCAAGCAATAACATTTTAAAATAAGCAGTGGAGACACTAACGATGATAGTTCCAACATTTTAAAAATAATTATACCAAATATGTGGAGTTTTGGGGCTAAAACCGGGATCATGTTTGCAAAATGGACCGCTCCAATAGATTAAATGCTTTATTAGAAAAATACTAGAAATATAACTTAAACAGACCTTAACAGTGCATATGTTTAATTTTAGAGGGATGTAAAGCAAACAGTTCTTTGCAGGGAACTGCATTCCTTGTCTTCTGTGGACAACAAAGTGCTTCTTGATAGTTGCAAAAAATTAAGTCTTAAATTGATGGATGACTACTTACATTTTTAATATTTTTCAGTATATACCAGTTGATGGCTTTTACAGCCTTCAGAAATATCCTTACCAGTTGAAAAGTGACCAAGACTATAGGCAAAAAATAGCCAAACAGAAGAAAGTGGAGCATGCAGAAATATTTATATTTATCCCCACTCTCATTTTAAATAATAAACTTATTCATTTTACTGCTTATTATTGGTTTTAGCTTGGATTAATATTTATTCATAGTTCCCATAACTTTTAAACAAGGATATCTAAATGAAACATAGCACAAATACATCCATGATGCAGAAAACATCTTTTGGTTTTGAATATAATTCTACCTGCCGATTGAAAATTTGTAATTTAGAATATGATAGTTTTCATGCTACAAGGTATGTCACAGGGAACATAACATTTATCAGAGAAAAACAAAATCAGAGCCTTCGTAAGCTAGGTGAATTCTACCAAAGCTCCTCTGATTCCTAATTAAAACTTCATGGTATAGGTGATTGTAAATGGTTTTTGGTTTTTTTATATAGAGAAAATACTATATTAATCAAAATTTGGGAATAATGTTCAGGGTACATAAGAAATTTCAATTAATTTATGCAACAGGAATGTTAGCTGAGTGTAATAGGAACGATCTAATCCAATATGCTGAACGTCAGATGTAAGAAGTAAGGGACTCAAACCAATAGCATAGAGAGAAAATAAGTATTTGCCTCTAATTTAAACTGGGATTTTTAAAAAATAAAGCCAAGCCTCTGTATTTGAGTCTTCTCTGCCACACCAGTGTAAAAGTATATCCTTTTTATTACTCCACACAGATGGCTGCCTTGCAAAGTCCCTTCTATGGTGACAAAATGAACTTGTATTCTTTATGTAAAAAGATAGAACAATGTGATTATCCACCCCTTCCGTCAGACCACTACTCAGAAGAAGTAAGTAACTTCCTTTTTTGGTGGGCTGTTTGAACTTGCTTTACTTTTTTAAAGCATCCTATTTCTCCTAGGATCTGGCATGCAGTTTCCCATAGCTGGGATGTTCTTGCACAGCTCTCATTAATGTCAATGTGAGAGGACTTGGTTTCTTCCTGGAAGCCAAACTTTCTTTTTTTAAAAAAAATGCTGTTTAAATATGGCTATAAATGTGAACCTTAAATGTGCCATGGTTTTGAAAGAACTGCTGTAATGTTCTACATAGTACTTTTTATATCTTCTGCTTGTGCTTTCTTTATAGTTGCAACTCTGTGCAAGGCATTAAAATTCCAAGCTATAAGGGGAAAATTGCTTAAACTGAGTGCAGTTAACCCTGAAATCCTCTTTGCTTAGATTGGTTACACCACGGTGAACAACATGAATTTCTGATTTTCAGCTATATAGAATATCTTCTGAATGATATATCCTGTGGTGTTCTTATTTACCCTTTTGAAAACATTGTGAAAGAATGAAACTCTCCCTCAGTTTACTGTGATCTAAGTGCCTACATGGATGTGATGAAAAAGTAGTTACGCTCTGTTCAGGAGTAATGACTAGAACTGTGCATAGTATTTGAGAGGGGTGCTTTATGAACACCATTAAGTGCATTGTTGCAAGCAAGAATTCCTTGAAGCATTAAAGCAACTGTGTCATCTGAAAAGCTCAGCATGGCTGTTTCAAAGACTTACCTTGGTTATCTCAGTGGGACAACGAACAAAGCAGTGTGGCTGTGCACGCAGAGGTGTGGGAAGACAATTGAAGATACTGACTGTTTTGAAATACATTGGATGTTTTAAGGTTTTGCAAAGCAACCTTTTGGAAATACCTTGTGTAGCCCTAATAATAATTTTGCCGTATGTATGATGCCCTAACCAACAAAAAGTACATATACGAAAAAATCTTGGAAACCTCATATTTTTTATATATATCACAAATTGTATTTCAAATGCAAGGCATATCTCCAACATGATGTACTTCTTCATGAACTTATGTATAGAGGAATCATCATAAACCTGTTTACTATTCTGTTATTCTGAATGTGCATTCAGAGATGTACATGGAACTACCACATCATGCTGCAACAAAATGGGCACCAGTGGTATATGCTTTCCATTCCTTCTCTAGCAATTTTGGTTATTTGGACAAAGGTGGCAGAGAATGGAAATGCTTTCAGTTTCTGTGACAATCAGTGCAGTACTTATTTGTATATTCATACATAACTGCAGAGGAGAAGAAAAATATGCTTATATTATTTACTGAGATTCTTGTCCATTAGCATGCAGTACCTTGGCGAGGAACAGTTATGTTTCCAAAGTCATAGGATAAAAACTTTAGATACAGACAGCAAAAAAAAGACTTAATATTTCTGCTAAGGATGAATACGTTCATGTCTCTTATAACTAATACATAGATGACTATGTGTTTGTGTGATTCCTTTACCATGTATGGACATATTTTTTTTGAAATTTTGAACACAGTAAAGTAGCAGAAAAAGTAAATTAAGCTATGTAGAAATACATATAAAATCCTAATATTTTGTAAACAGTAAAATGTCACTGTCTTTAGGGAATTGGGGAATAATATAACTCCAAACTCCGAATCTCATTGCTTTTAAAGATTTTAGTTATTAATTAAAAACTGTGGTCCATGAAGTATGGATCTCTTTTAAAAAAACCATTGTATAATATTCACACTTTTATTACATGGAGAATTTGACTGAAATTCTCTATGTATGCTTTTAAAGATGACTAGGAAGACGATGAAGTGGATGTGATGGTCTTCGCTGGTATGTGCAGCATTGACTTAATGTAGCTTTTCCAATTAACTGTTTTTTTTTCCAGTGGCCATTTTTAATTATGACAATTGTGCAGAATATAAATATGGCATTTCATATAGGCAATTTCAGAACCGGAGGCCTAGAAATACGGTAGGGTGTGAACAATAATGCAAAATGATAGCAAGAAATGTCAGGGGCCGTTCTTTGTTGTGTCATTCATGCTGTCTTCCTTTTTCCACGAAGCGCATGAATATTTCACGTACCTGCATCCTCATCCTCTATTCTTCTTGACTAATTTTCAGACTGTCTGAATTTGCATTTCACATGGTAGCTGATTAGGAGATGCCGCGCGCAGCAGTGAAGCCTCAGCAGGCGGTTGCCATGGTGACCTTCAGCAGGATTTTAATGATGATACCACTAGTGGTTCGTTGAAGTCGGCCTGCCTGGAGGGCTACTTCATTGCAGCTAAGTGTGAAGTTGGATATATAGATTCTCAGCCAAGGGGCAGATATCAAAGTCCAGGCTTGATGGAAGCCTTGGTATTCAGAAAGGGAAGTAATAATAATAACAATAATTATTATTACATAGATAGGAGAGGGGGGAATTTTAAAAATATCAGGCTGCACTTCCCCCTTATTCAGAAACAAGGACTTTATTTTCACAGCCTTTGTTTTAAAACCCTTTTTCTATACAGTACCATTTGAGAGAAGGAAAACCCTGATCTATTACAAGTATGGAAATCACTTCCTGACAAAGTGAAAAATTCAGTAATAGAGGATGTACTATTACTGTGAACAGTTCATTGTTCCAAAATTGTACTTAGAACAAAACTGGTATTTTTTTAAAAAAAGAGTATAGTTATGATCCCTGTTAACTGTACATTTTAATGTTCTGTGTTTTGCACAGGTTCTGTATTATAGAAGAAGACTGTATTGTATCTACCACGGCATCCAAAAGACTTCTAGAAAATGTAGGCTAAACTTTTCTGTAGACTGAAAGGTTCATCCCAGTTGAACAGAAGAATTAAGGGGTCACAGAACAGAGAAATATGTACACAGATGTGTTTTTGCATCAACCTCTGCCTGTTTTTGACACAAGGCTTTTAGATAAAGAAAATATTTTTTTTAATTAATATCTGTTTTAATGTACTTCCACTTTTGCTAGGTAGTTACTACAGTGCAGACTTATTCCATTTGATATTTTTCAGCCTTTGAACCACTGTGTACGTTAGTTCTCAGCATGTAAACCAACTGATACTTCCTAAGTGAGGATCTGGTTGGATAAAACTTTGGGTGCCCATTTTTGTTTCTTATTCTCATGTAACACTCCTCATTTCATATGGCAACACAATATGCTGTGATAATGTTGCTCCTTTCCTTATCTGAAGCCCTTTCTGTGAATAGCTCCATCGCTTCCTTAGATCCTTAGGCTGACAACTGGATTTAATTTCCATTTTTCTTTTAATGTCTGAACAGTTAGAGTGCTTCTAATTGATGAAAGGGGAGGTCTCATTTCAATATTCTGAAACTACTTAATTACTGTATTGGTTTCAAAGATGGCATGTTGTTTTTCATTTTTTGTTGTTAAAAATATTTGATGAGGAGGAAGGAGGGAAATTGACAAACCAATGTTTTATGTGTGTTCTGGGCAGTAATTTTATATATACAATTTGTCTCTCTATAATTCTAGCAAGCTCACTGACGCGATCTAAGGCTGACTTTGACTGCAAATGAATAGACACCATCCAAAAACTAGTATAGGGATATGTGCTAGATCTCAAGGTCAGCTCATTAATGAGAATTTTACTAGCAGAAAAATCTGACAGCCTTGTCTTTGGAGACTTTTTTATTTTTACATTAATGATGGTATAGAAATAAAAAGATGATAGTAAGTTTGCTTCCCCAAAAGTTTGCATTTTTCCTCTTTGCTTCTTAGGCTGTTACCATAAAGGCTCCTTATTCTGGTCTTCGTGTAGCACGTGTTTGCAACCTAGATTATCTTCATCCTTTTTCTGATCATGCAGGCACAAATCCAGTCAAAGCATGAATTCTAACTGCCCATAATTGTTATTTGCACAGGATAGACCTAGAATTATTTAAATAC